GGTGCTGTTGTGAGCTGGGCCAGCAGTAAAAGGCTGGTCTAAACTGGACCAGTTTAGAAGGCTGGAAATACTCAGCTAAATGGCTAATTTATCAAATTCTCTCAGTGCCATTTAGGCTTGAGTGTTTTAGCTAACCAGGAGGACTGTAAATCTAGGCTCATTTCCTAGTCTCTGTTGAGTTTAGCCTGGTTATTTGGAAAAGGTTCTTTCTTTCTTTCCCCAGGGAGTTGTTGGGCACTGAACAGGCTCCCCAGGGAAGGGGCCATGGCACCAGCCTGACAGAGCTGCAGGAGTGCTGGGACAACGCTGTCAGGCACACGGTGGGAATGCTGGAGCTGTCCTGTGCAGGGTCAGCTGCTGGACTCCATGACCCTTGTGGGTCACTTCCAACTTGGGATATTCTGTGATTCTTTCTTTGTTAAGGCCAATGTTACAGAAAGCTTAGGAAGCTTGTGAGCTTGTGACCCTGTCGTGGTCCCTCTTCTTCCTGTGACACTCAGTAAAATACACCAGTGAGTTGTCACAGGGTGGGTGTGCTGTGTTGGTATTTTTGTTTTGTATTTCATGAGTACTTCAGCAGCAGCATTGTCAGTGGCAAGACTCTTAGGCACTACTAAGTCCAGACAAGAGGTTTATAAAGCATCAAGCAGCAACAGTCAGGTTCTTATGTGCTCAAAAGTGCAAGGGCTGTTTGGCCACTGATCCTTACAGTGAGGCTTCTAGTGCATACCTATGGTTTTTTGAGTGTAGCTGAAAAACTCAAGACCTGTAGCACATTCTCATCAGCCTTGCTATAAATGTGTCCCTGCTGGAGTTTGTGAGGTTTAATTCACTGGTGATGGTAGTGCAGCTGCCTTCAAGCAGGGGCCAGATGAATGTGAATCATGAGAGCAGATGGAAATCCTGGGCAGGGTGAGCACATTGATGGTGGGTAAGCCAAGGTCTTGCATTGTAATGATGCAGGGCTCTGTTGGTGCAGTGATACTGGAGACTAAATTACACAATGTTAACCAAGTTATACCTTGGAGAAGTCAGTTAATAAGGCAGGCCCAAGCATCACAAGCATTATTAATCTCTTACATTAAAAACAAAGCAAAAAATCAGCAGCTACTTGCACAACATTTGTGCACATGGAGGGAAAAATACATGAGTTTGTGTAATTACTGTGTCATGGACTAAAGTTTCTGACTAAGGGGTCAATATGTTAGGAAAGGGTCTGGGAAGGTGGGATTCCTCAACTTCAAGTGCTGCCACTCTACAGCCTAGTGAGATTAATCTTTTAAGGGTATGTAAAAAAGAGTGGTAAATGTATTAAACTGCTACTTTTGTAGGGGTTATTTTAATTCAGAATAACCATAGTTATAGAACAGCTGACAAAATTACACCACTAGGTATGTTGTTGCTTGTACCAAAAACTGAGATTAAGCTGGACTGTTGTGGTTTTTAAGAGAGATGTTCATTTAACAAGAGGGCTATCCCAGATTTGTCTCTTGATCCCAAAATGCCTTCTTCAATCTTGATCTGAGCAGGTGGCCCCATCTATATTGTTAAAGAAACTTTATTATATCCAGTGAAAATTAGATTGCAAAAAAATAGAAACTAACATTTTTAACTTAGGTCAAAACAATTCTAAACCAGATTACTAGTAACAAAATAACTTGTTTGATGTGAAGCAGTAAGACCTCAGTTATAAACAAACAAAAACTTTGTATACATGTTAGTTTCAGAAGAGCTTGAATACATAAATTTCATGTATTAAACTCAAAACTTAAATATAGAGTAATTATTAGATCTTTACCAAACCATCATGAGTCTTAGAAAGTCTTCCACAGTTTAAAACCAGAGTTTAAAGATCAGTCATTGAAGTAGAAGCTAGGAAGACATTAAAGGCATTTTCTTTCTAAGCTTTTCTTGCTCTCAATCACACCTACACAATTTTTAGTCTGAACACCCTAAAGTGCAGAATTTCTTGCAACAAAAGCTAGCATTGTTTGTGTTGTTTTGAATAATACAAAGTAGGCTTTATTGTTTGTAATGCTTTTTCAACACTTTGACACAGATTCAACACAATGTCTGATTGTGAAATTGCAAATTGAATTTCACTTGCATACTGTGTTTTACAAATAAGTTTATCACCGTTTTTCTTATTGTAACAGAATTTGCATCATTACCAAGTGTACATGTAGAAAGTGAATTTTCTATTTCTCAAATACTGGAATGAGGATGAAGCTTTTAAGCTCCATTTCACAATAAAGGCTTGTGGTTTCCTGGCAGGAGTTCATTCAGGTGATTCGCATACTATGACAGTTCATTCTTTAGTAATGTCCTCGGACAATCCTCCAGAAACACTTGTGGTGATGACCCCATTCAAGGGAGATGCAAACTGTTAAGTGAAGAATGGCCACTGCAATTCTGAAAGGCACAGAATATAGGGCTTACAGGGCTTAGTCATCAAAAGTGGTCAGGGATTTTACTGCTTCTTAAATAGGACTGAAAAACGGAAAGGCAAGAAAGAAGTAAGCAAGAGAGGACAGTGTTGGCACAGTAACAAACTGGTAACAGAGAAGAGATGAATCCATCATCTCTTAGGCTAGCCCTACCAAATAGCAGCAATATGTGGAGGGAGGATGAAAATCTAACTCATTTTAAGAGAGCAATAACTTTATGAAAGAGATCACATATGATTGCCTGCAGTAGCAGGCAATTTATTCTCTTTCTGTGTAGCAGTCTCCATAAAAAGGACTTTAATGTGAAGTTCTCCTGCTGTCTGGGTAATGACAGTCCTACTCAGCCTCCTTTGTTTTATGTACCTTTTTCAGAGCAGTCTCAGCTCTTCTGGCTAAGGAGATAAGAGTCCACAATAAAATACCTAACAATTTAGGCAAAGATTTGAAGGCAAGCTCCCACAGCATCCTAAATATTGGGCTAGAAAATACCAGTGTCTTCTTGCAGAATGACTTGACATCTACCCCTTGGAGTTACCAGATGTTTGGCATGTCTCTGGTTCAGTGGGCACACTACTTTTTGTTAAGACTCCACAAGCAACTTTTAGCTACCTGCAGAAAGCTCTACTCTGCCACCAGAAAAGCCTTTTCAGTTTTAAATCTTCCTTTTCTTTACAACTATTCTATAGTTGTATAATTGTTCTATACGAGAACAACTATCAGTTCTTCATTGCATTGGACCCTACATTTTGACTGTAACTTTAGTATTTACCTCAAGAATTTCCTCTGTGTTTTGACTTCCTCATCTCCTCTAATGCTGCAGTACTTCATCCTGAATTATTTACCTCCTCAGTGATTCTTACCTTCTAAGACACTACTACATAAACTATTAGTTTTTGTTTGGTTTTTTTTAAGGCGAGGATGTAGGGGTTATTTTAATTCAGAATAAACAAAAATTCCTCAAACTGAAAAAATTTCAAACAACAAAATTTCCTCAAACTGAAGTACTGTTAGAGATGTTTTTCACAGCTTGAATCTTACAGAATATACTCTTAAATATCCATTTCCTCCATTGAGATGTCCCTATTATGCATGAAATGTACCAGCTTGCCTTGATACCACACCAAGCATTATAATCTTTGCTCAAGACATTAACAAGGGACGTGCCACCCAGTTGATCTTGATGCATGAGCTGCATTTCATGAGCTCCATTATCTTTTAAAGGCACAGCCTTCAAATACACTTATATTCTAGCCTGCACTTTGGGGGGATGTGTAGAATTAATTAACAAAGTTCTTGTAGTTATGCACACTTCTTGAATGATTCTGTGTTTCCAAACACAACAAACAATATTTGTGTCTTGAAGGAGAGCTCAGTGTTGCGGGAAATATTGCATTTTGCCATAAACACATTAGGATATAGACTTCTGTAGAAGCTCATTAGAAAGAAGAATCTGCATTTTTCTGCATTGAACTCCTCCACACGCACAATGCACACATATTTATAAACTTCTAGGTCAGGGTAATCCTCTAATATTGTACAGAGGTGATGCCCATGGAAGAAGGTTCCCTAAAACTGTATTACAATGAAGAGAAGGAAGTTTCAAACATGAATCAATCTGAATAGGAAACAAAAGATCCTTCTTCAGCAACAAACAGGAACATCCATTAAACCAGCCTAGAAACTTGGCACCATCACAAAGAGGCTGAGGTAACCCAGGATAACCTCTCTTCCAGACGGAAAAGGATTCACAGAATCAATTAGCAGTTCATTCTTTAATTAAATGAAAATTTACACAAACAACAGAACACTTTGAAGAAGTATAGGCACATATTGCTACAGAGGGGTCTCCTACAGCACAGAAAACAGCCTTCAATTCTTTATTCTCCCAGTTTGGTTTTTGTGCAGCAAAGACAAAGCCCAGAGTCCAATAAACCCCAAACATGAATTACCCGAACTCCTTTTTTACTTTTCAAACAGGAGGAAATTAGTTCTGCTAAAGATGATGAGAACAGTCATTTTGCAAATGGCGCTGTGAAGCTGATCAGAAGGGAATGTATTGTAGCATAACTGCCCTATTTCAGCACATCATCCTGTAATAACAATCTGCAGCATGGCTCTGCTTCACTGAGAGGGAGAGAGTGCTACATCCAGCAGGCCCCTCAGTACATGCACATCCCAGAGAGAAGCACCCTCCCTTTGTTGGAAGGCAGCCCGTTACCCAGCTTGAGCCTTTCAGATTCTCATTTCAGGACAGAGACAGAACTTGCTTCATTGGCTGCAGCTATTTGCAGTTTCCAGTTATGACCCTTGTGATTAAGCCAAGCTCTGAGCCCTGAAATCCTCTTCTGAAATGGTGAACAGCTTTTGTTCAACAACATAATAGGAAACCATTTCTTGGCATCCAACCAAATGAGTATTTGAGTATTAGCTTTTCAAAAGCTATCTCATTAATTCAAGAAAAAAACCTCTTTAGTTTTGTTTGCTGAAATAGACAACGTGTTACACTAGGCTGCAACTTCTGACAGCTGTAGGTAGAGAATACTTCCCATCCATGCCCTGAGCATTCATTTGTTTGCAACGGCAGAAAGTTGGTCCCGAATCCTTCCCAGACCTTCTAACATAGTGTCCAGGGTTTCTTTGCTCAGTTCCACAGTCAGTGCAGAAACAACAGGATTATTTCCACATAAGGCAGCATCTTCCTGAATCTTAAAATAGGAATGCAGATGTTAGTTGTATGAAAAATTAATTTATGTGTTGCTCTTCCAGAGCCGCTACAAAATGTTGTGTTTAATACAGAGATTAAACAAAATGGTCTGAATTTGGAATCCAGCTCCATCCAGAAGAACCATGGCACATTTTCTAAGCTGTGTGCCTCACTAGTGAAGTGCACTCTCATTGACAGAGTGCAAGTGAGCACCTACTGCCGTAAGTGTTGGGATATTTTGAAGATATTGTGGCAGGAAGCCACATCTGTATCAAAAGCATCTCAGCAGATACCACAGAGATACCACAATAACCCCACCCCACATACAGAAATTAGATTTTAATTCCTCCTCTGAATCCCACTCATCTGATTTTTATTGGTTGGGGGGATCCAAAACTCTGCAGAACACAAGCAGTACACCAGCAGTTAAGTTAGGTATACTCCCCAAATGATAGATGTAGCTGGTGAAGGAAGTTATTAGTAATCTCAAGTCATTTCCCCAACTAATGAAGTCAGCCAGACACGCTGATGGAGTGCTTAGAATTAAAGGATGATGGCTTCATGATTTATCTTCTTTTTCCTGTAGAAAACAATGGTGACTAGGAACAAACATGGTGACTTCTCACATCCTCATGCACACAAAACTTCTGTGCAAGAGAGCTTTCATCAGAGACACCATTCCCATGCTCTGTGGCATTTCAGGTATCATCTCTGAGGAAGTCTAATGGCCCCCCAGGCACGAGGCAAGCACCAGATGCCTGTCTGAACTGGCTTTCCCTGGCAAGTCAAGGGAAAACCAGTGTCAAGTCAAGTCCAAGGTGCTGGACTTTATTTGGGTCCTTCACAGCCACTGCCATTACCTTTAGCTGCAGCAGGCAGGTAGGGACTGCCATTCTTACGATGCTGTCTGAAGATGTCTTGATGTCCACCCTCCAGTCCATGTCCACCAGCCGAGGCAGGGAGACTGGGGGGTTAAAAATGGCTCTGTTAGGCACAGCAGCACATGGTGATACCACCCCTGCAACCTGTGACCACCACCATGCACAGGCCTCTCCACTGCTGGCCCTGGGAAGTGTACAAGTTTAGTTCCTACTATGTGGTTTCCCATCATTTTACTCTGGAATAAGCCAGTCTCTGAAGACCTCCTCATGACACTGGAAGGGCAAAAAAGGGTTCTCCCGTCATTACATGCAATGACAGTTCAGTGCAAGAAACAGAGAGAAATTTCCAAAGCAGCTGGAAGAAGGAGAGCAGTAAGATGTCTTCTCCCCATCTTTATGCCCTGCCTTGCTGCCTGCCACACTCAACTAGTGTTTCATTGTGAGTTGCTCTGGCACCTACATGCTTATTGCTCTGAAACTGGTAAGAAAGCACTCAGGAAAGCTTGTAAAATCTGGCAGTATAAAACATGTTATTTCAAGTTCCCCAGCCAAAGCATCCTGCAGTACAGCAAACATGCTGACAAACTGCAATCTTCACATTCCTTAAAAGTATTTCAAATATCACCCTAATTGCATGCAGCCTAGCAGAAACCATTTAATAGGTGCATTACTGACATCAATAGCTCAGACCTGGAGACCTCTTGGGCTCACCCAAGGAAAGAAACACCAGTCTAACTTGGCTGCTAAGGAAAGAGCTGTCTCAGTAGGCAATTGCAGTCTGTCTGGATTCTGCCTGTTGTAAGATGCTTAGTGTCTTCCCCAGGGGTTGATTGCCAGCCTTCCTACTGACTACAGACACTCAAGTTGCTTTCTCTCTGTGCTTTATTGTCCAATTGAATTTTTTTCTGTCTGGGGAAAGGCTCTCTCTCCGTGCCCCTGCTGCTTCCTTGCACAGAGCTCCAGGGGGCAGCGCACAACTGGCTGCCTTGCTCCTGTGCTTTTGGAACAAATTCCAGTTCACAGTCTGTCAAGGCCAGCACTTGGCAGCATTTGCAACAGCACAAAATACATCTGTTAAGCCTTGTATGTTAATTTGCAAAGATTGATTGCAGGTGGCTTGAGAGGGGCAGGAAACCATTCACTTTTTTATGTTAACACAGATCAATCTGTTGGAATGTCTGCCTTGGACCACTGCCTTGGTCCCTATGTAATGCATGTCGGATACTTCATAAATACAATACTAAGATAATCCATTCTTTCCTAGTAGACAATCTCATTCCTGAGATTACTACTTACTCTGACTGGCTTGTGCTTCATTTCTCCAAGAAGAGCTGTAAAAAAAGTGGAGAAAACAGTATCAACAGTGCTTTCAGAAAAAAAAAAAAAAAGAGGTAAGCATTTAGCATGGCTTATCCCTGACTAATGGCAGGCAAACTGGTGACCAACCATGGGTTCTTCTGGAAGGGCAGCTTGTTTAAAGCCCACACCTTCCTCCCTGGTCTTATCAAAGCCATGGGCTCCAAGCACTGAGATGTGCAAGCAGAAGTGCCCTCCCCTGCCACCACCTCATGTATGCTCTGTCACATCCAGTGCCTCTGCACCTCGTGACAACTGGATGGATATCTGGGTACCACCTAGATCTTCTAGAGCTGAAATCCAGCCTTTTAAGTTTTATCAGCAACAGTAGCATTTTTTCACCACACAGCTGTTAAGATAAAAGGGGCTTTGCATATTAGGAATGTGGCCTACGTCTGTTTCAGAAGTCATGGCAAAACTCTGTGTGCCCATGGCTGTGTTTCGTTGGCCATTTACAGAAACAAGACAAATATCCACGTTGCCAAATATCCACGTATCAAACGACATATACAGGCTTTAAATCTACAGCTGAAAGCAAATGGCAGGTGGATAGCACTCACATATTCTCCAAGATTATCTTAGTCAAGAGGTTTTTCAGATTTTGGTGGAAGTTCTCTGGGAAGAGACGGAGGATGTCTTCTGGCGCGGTCAAGCCGCGGTACACCACGTGCCTGGTGAGGTTGTGCAGAGCAGACACCAGCTGGCAGGGGGCAAGAGAAGGGCTGCGCTGAGAAGCATTGCACACAGCACAGGGCGGGCCCTCTCAGCCAGGAGACACAGCTTATGCTGGAGACCCTCAGCACCCGAGCCCTGGGCACCCACGTACGGCCCGACAGCCTCAGCAGGACGGGGCTGCGCTCCTCAGCGCCCCCGCTTCGCAGCCTCAGCCCGTTCGCTTCTGCCGCGGGCGAGGGTCGCTGTTCCCGCACCTTCCCGTGGGCCGGCCCCGTGCTGGCACCGCCACAGTCCCGCTCGTTCCCTCCCGCCGGGGCCCGCGGCTGCCCCGCCCGGCCCTACCTGCTCCGCTTCCTCGGCGCTGACGGCGAGCCCGGGGCAGGCGCGCTGCGCCAGCGGGCCGAGCGCGGCGGGCGGGCTGGAGAAGCACTCCTGGCACAGCTGCCGCACAGCGTCCTTCGACGGCGCCTGGCGGGGAGCAAAGCGGGGGCGCTCAGCCGCGGCCCGGCAGCGGCGGCCCCGGACCCCGCGGCCCGGCCCCGCTCACCTTCAGCAGGATCTGCAGCGCCGCGAAGTCTCCGTCCCGCAGCGCCGCCATCTTGGCGCCGTCAGCGCGGCCGCGCTCCGCCCGCCGCCATCACGCGCCCGTCACCGGGGCGGGGCCGGGGACCCGGACGCGGGACTGGGACAGGGACAGAGACCGGGACACGGACCAGACAGGGGACAGGGACCGGGACACCGACCGGACAGAGGACAGAGACACGAACAGGGACGGAGACCGGGACACGGACAGGGACGGGGACCAGCACAGGGACCGGGACCGGCACACGGACAGGGACCGGTACACGGACAGGCACACGGACCGGGACTGGCACACGGACCAGGACAGGAAAGCTCTCGGTGTGTGGCACTGCCCCTGCCGCTCCACTCGGGGCGTTTTCTACTCTCAGTGCCTCAGAGTTGTGCTGTAAACGCGCTGCTCTCAGCCAGCGGGAATGGGAGGTGAAGGATTTATCATGGCACTGTGATAGCCATACGGACCATTATCTTTGCAAGCTGAGTCTTTCACTTTGTAAGGCATTTAAATAAGTCCTCTTTCTGAGAGAGAACGTCTTCTCTTTAACTTGTGTGGCTTCCAGCACACCTGGATCCAGGGCCTCACTAATCTATGGTATTTCCCCGTCACTGCTTCTGTCACCTCCCCATCCTTATTTCCATCTCTATTAGTTTGTAAGCAGAATTTTGCACAGTGAGAAATGCAAACATATGAATGCTTTTTCCACTGGGCTTCACAAGCCTGGCAGGGAACAGGATTTACTCTTGTAGAGGAACAGGTTCCATACTACACACTAGCACAGAACAGAAAGTGAAGGGAAGGATGGTGAAATATTAATTTTTGATATCCAAATTGAAAGGTTTGCAGCTAGTAGGTTAAACAATAGCACCCCAGTGGGGAAAAGCATGGGGTAGTGGTAAGAGGTTGGGGTTTAAGAGCTAGGAAACCAGAATTACATTCCCTTGACCCTGTTTCAGTCTTTAGATGAATCAAGGTAAGTCAGTTTGTCACGAGTGCCAGGAAGGTAATGGCACTCTCTGTATAACACATAATGTCCTGCAGTGGTGAGTGTGGGCATTTATTAACATCAGCAGTAAACGTGGAGGTTGTGAAGGGATAAACAGAATGGAGGCACTGTGAAATAACAACACTGTGTTACAACCTGAGGAAGTATGCCTGAAGGAAACAGGGATTGTTCACAGGATATACTTGTCCTTGCATTGTTGACCTCTTATAATCTGCCTGCTTGTCTTGCTCCCAGACCGATAAGGCTAACTTTTTCTAAGAGGTAAGCAGAATTTTTCTAAGCAGTAACACTTCTGAAATGCCCTATCTCACTGGGGGAGAGGGACACTTACATTTTTTCAGAACCTTTCTAAAGCAGCAACTTTACAAGACTTCAATAAAATCAGGTTGATCCATGCCTAGCTTATTGGGTTTCTGTGGCAAGGTTCTGGTAGCGGGAAGCTACAAAGATGGTTTTTTTGGCAAGTTGTTAGAAACTTCCCCCATCTCCAAGAGAGCCTGAACTAACTGGCTCCAAGATGGACTTGCCACTGGCCGAGGCCAAGCCTGTCAGTGATGGTGGGAGCACCTCTGGGATAGCAGGGCTAAGAAGAAAAAACAAAAGTTATTGCAAAAGTAATTTGTCTAGCTGGAATCAAATCCAGCAGGGAGGGGTGGGGGGAAGGTGCTTTTAGGATTTGTTTTTTCATTATCCTGCTCTGATTTTGACTAGTGATAAATTCAGTTAATTTCTCTGAGTCAAGGCTGTTCTGCCCATGAAGGTAATGTGAGTGATCTGTCTCTATCCTTAACTCATGAGCCTTTTGTTACATTTTTTCTCCCCTGTCCAGCTGAGGAAGGGGGTGATAGAGTGGCTTTGGTGGGCACTGGTATCCAGCCAAGATCAAACCACCACGCCTGGGTTAAGGACTTAATAGTACAGAGCAACTTTGTCAGACAAGTAGGTGGAGAGATGGAAAGGATGGGAGGGTGTAGGGTGGGGAGAGTAGATAACTGTCTCTGCCAGCTCTCACAGGAGTGTGTGGCAAGAGAACATTTACCTGTGAGTCACATACTCAGAACAAAGATGCTGCCTGCCAGTAAGCACAGCTGACATCCCACTGAATTTGTTCTCCAGTCCACCTCCCATTGCTGCCATTTCCTCACTCTGGGAGCCTTATAATTATGAAGAAATAATGACAGGTTTGATTTAATATCAAAATTGAAATGCTATTGTTTAATATCAAACTTGAAATAGCTGAAGCCAACAGAAGTGCTTAGTAAAATGCTTTATTTGGTTTGATCTTTTCTTCTTCCTTCTCTTCCTTCCTCTCCTCCTTCCTTCCCTTCTTCCATTCGTCTTTCCCTCCTTCCTTCCTCTTCAAGGTCAAGGCCTCAAAAATTAAATTATCATCAGGCATGAAGTGGGAGGCTGCATCCTGTAAGGAAGGCTGGCCCTGTGATCAGTGTGATTGTCAGGAAGGTTTGAGAAACACAGTTCAATTATCTGCTGTGCCAGAGGCACTTCTCTCTGAGTTTGAAAAAAGAAACCCACTTAGGGGACTGAGATGGATTGGATGTCCTCCAGATGTGTTTTCTCACAGCCATTTTTTACCATGATTTCATGTCTGTATCACCCAAGGGGACTCAGCTGTGAGCTCTGAGCCTGCAGATGAGTCACAACACTGTCTGCAGGAATTGGGTTGGATCTCATGAACCAAACTGTCCAGTCATTGAGTCTGAGAATTAAATTTTGCCTCTGGGCTGGCAAATTTGCCTGCACCCAGCCTTGGGTGATACAGCTGGAGTACTGACTGATATGACTCTCTCTTGGCTGAGCCAGCCTAGGGTATCTGCAAATCATTCTCCCTAAAGTAGTGTAGGTATTTTTTTTTCTCCTTGAGAAGTAAAACTGGGAAATACTAAATTTAGCTTGCCTATAGTTCTTACCTGGAGAACTGTAATCTTTTACACTCCAGGGAAAGAACCAACAGTTTTAGCTCACTTTGTCCATTTAAGGGTCTCAAGGAGAGAAATCCTTGGGATACTAAGGATTTGATGGGAAGAGCTATTATTTTTTTCCCCACAGCATAGCCTGTATTCACCGGAGCATGCGTAGCAGAGGAGTGTTCTCTTCCTTCAGGGCTTCCAGCTGCAAGGCAAGGCTCTGCTCTGTAACTGCTCCCTGCTGGGTGGGTGCAATTTTAGTAAGAAAGTTGCCGATCCTTTTCAAATTAAAAATGCAGGATTTAGCTCCAAGGGAATGCATTAGAGAGATGACATCAAGTGTGTTCATGGGCCTGGATGTAGACTGTGTGAGAGAGAAAAGCTCTGTGTTCCAGCCAGTCTGTGGCTAAGCCCTGCAGAGCTTCAGAAAACAGGATTTCCAAACAGTCACCCATAATTAGTATTTTGACACATGTTACTTTTTGCTGGAATTCAGAAAGATTGATTGGTCTGTGTTATTGGGGAAAGTTTCTGAACTGATCACTGGACTTGACAGGTAATCCTTGTTTAAACAGACTTAGGCAAGTCAGGTTGTTTTAATCTTCCAGTTTCCTGCATTTATTTCTGTTGGTGAAACCCATTAACTGTGTGATAGAGAATAGGCCAGAAGCTGGGCATACACTATGGGCATGATTAGCAGTGCTGACCTGGCTGTGCATGGCTGTGCACCCTCTTCATTGCCAGTCTGTTGCCTCTTGCAGTGGCCCAACAAAGTGCATGTACTGTAGTATCAACACCTTTCCTATTTGGCCCCATCTCTACTCACTAAGAACTTGCCATCTTGACAGGCTTTTATTGTTAGGGATTTTTAGGAAATGGAGCCAAACCATGTTGTTAACGTTCGGGTTTGCACTCTTTTGTGTCAGTTTTCAATCGCCTTTCAGATGACAGTATTCCTTCCTCCCTGGCCTCTCAGCTGAAACAGCTGAACTTCCTTTTCAGTTTGGATTGCTGATACTTGAGACTCTTCAAATGGGACTGCAAATTGGAGGGTAAGACCACTGCTGACAGATGTGATCCACAAGGCTCGTGCCAGCAGATACTCTGTGTGCTCTGTAAGTCTGTGGACAGCTGCCTGCATTGCAGCTGGAAAATGAGTGGCCTCACACTGCTGTAAATCTGTATTAAAACTGGAAAGTGAGCAGCCTCACACTTGTAAAGAGGACATTGCACATTAACAGCTCATCTAAGGTAATTTTCTTTGCCCTCTGCTGCAATACAATCCCTATAAAATTTGATAGGCAGCTGAGACTGCTCATGAGATCATGAATGTGTTCAAACTGCAAAGCATCATTGGGACAAAAAAAAAGCTTTTTGAGTGTTTTCCAGACAAATGTATTTGGCCTAATCATCATACCAAGCTTTTACCATTGTCTGTATTCAAGATTTTACAACCATTCATTGATGCTCACAAAACTCCTGGGAAAAAACTTCTGTATAAGAATCAATGCAACTGCATCTGGTTTTAGTAAGCAAATTAAATCATGCAACAAAAAATTTTCCATGAGGTATTTGCAGCCCCAATGGCATAACAGAGTCACTTCTGACAAGACAGGAGGAGCAAGCCAGCACAGACAAAAGCAAGACATTTAATAGCTCTTATGAAAGCAAAAAAGTAAACCAGCCTTTCCTCCCCACTCTCCTTTTGAATGTCAGTGTCCCTTAGCATGATGTGATCACGCTGAAGCTGAACAAGGAGGCAGAGGCCAGCACCAGCATGGGCTCCCAGCTCTCCCCTTTGGCTGCTGGAGGCGACCACCACTCTGTGCAAGCAACTGTGCAAATTCGGAGGGGAAGGCGGCAGGGAAAGCTCACACATGCTGGGGCTCACTGGTAAACTGGTCAGCAGCAGTGCCAGCAATGTGCCCTGTGAGACAAGGTGTGTGAACCAGCAAGCCTCAGATGTGCCTGGTTCAGTTGCATGGCTTGTCTCTTCCGGCAGAGGAGGTGACTGCCATGGCAAGTAGGTGATGGCATCTGTTACTGGGAGCCACTGCTGGCAGGAGAGCAGTTCCTGCACATCTGTGGGGCCTCAGGC